TCCTTTTTGTTACATAGACCTTTTCGGCAAAAATTCAATTGCTGTATTTGTGTTTGAGTGCTTATTTCCATGAAGGCACAACTTCAGGAATAAAAATTCATAAATCTTTAAATCCAGAAGCATCAATTATGATTATGTACTTGGCCTCCTGTATAACACAAACTAAATTTCACTTATGATTTTTTTTTTCCCCTGCTTAAAAATAAATGGTAGCATTTCTGCTTTTTTGTCAAGTACCGTGTCTCAAGAGCTGCACAGGTTCAACCCAGTCTCATGCCACTCCAGTTTTACCACCTGAATGCTGGAGAACAGTATTTCCATGCTACATGCCCCACAGACTGAACCTACACGCAGTGATTTAATGAAAAGGAAAAGCTAGGTATGGAGTAGAAATGCCTCTTTCCTGTGGTAAATTCTTCTTGGTAGTTTCAATGTCATTCACTTTAACCCAGTTGCTCAGCTCTCGTGATGTGCTCCTGGCTTGCAGTATTATCTGTAGTTTTCATCTACTGTTGTACGGAAAAACCCTCTAGTTGCTCATGTATGTTTTCTTTCGGTAAAGAAACCTGCTAAAAAAAAAAAAAGCGCTGTGTAAAGCTATCATGAAACCAAAGGAGACACGTACTGGTGCAAATTACATTGATATGCACAGTAAGACTGGTGAAAGATGGAATGGGTGTTTGATTTAATTCTAGAGCGCTGGCGTTAGTGCTGAAATATTGGATATTATGAAAAAGGGCTAGCTTTCCATCAAGACTTGTGATTATCTTGAATTTTTTACTTTTGCAGAAGGAACACAAAAATTCTCAGTGTGGATTGAGACGTTGATCTATCTAGTCCTTTTACCGGTTACCAGTGGCTCGATCCAGAAGTTGAAAAAGGGGAGTTATAAAAAACACAACCTACAATGGGATATTAAGTTGGCCTCTGAAAATGGGGTCTTTTCTGCTCTTACCTACATGGACTGCATGTTTTACCCTGACCTTGACCTGCCAGGAGTGGCTAATCTTAAAGCCTTTGGATGTCTTTCACTTTATGTAGCTGCTGACATTTTGGGAGCGGGAGGTCCAAGGTTCCCCTCTTTCAGAGGGAGAGGCTGGTCAGTGGCTGGCATCAAGCAAGCCCGAGGGTTTCATACCTGGTGGTGAGGAGAGGGCAGGAGCTGTCTGTGCCTTCATAGAAACACTCGGCAAATGCACTATTATCGGCCAAATGGGTAAAAAATCCCAGGCTAGAACAGGAAAACAGAACTGAATAAAATGTCTTTAAACCCTATGTACAATTGAAAACTAAATGAAGAAGGCTTCTCTATTGTATTTAAAGGAAAGCAGCAAATAAAGTAATAAAAAAAAGACTTAGGAAAGTTGATGACAGAAAACCTCTGTGAATGAGTGAAGATGTTTTTGTGCTGTCTGCTGCCCTTTCAAAGCAGAGTTCAGCAAAAGACAAAGGTTCAGCTATTTGAGAATTTGATTCCTAGTAACTACGACTGCATGCTTAGGGTTGTGCCGCTATGTCCCGGTACTCTGCCCTTTTCTGAATCGTAACACCGAGGGTGCCACAGCCTCGATGGGAGCCTCTCCTACAGCACTGACGTGCCCCAAACCTCCTTGGTATTTCTGTGCCCCTTTCATACGTCGTTTGTGATCTCACCTCGCTGTTTCACTTACCTGCCTTAATTTCCCAGATAATTCTGGATAAATCTCCATGACGAAAAGTCTTCTGTGCCCCTCTGCCAATGTAGCTTAGAAAGTCTAGCAGTCACACAAGCACTTTTCTTGGATCGTTTTACAGGGAAGTGTTGGGAGAGAGGAGCAGAGGGAAAGGTATGTCTCTGAGATCTTGTATCATGACTGATACCCTGCCAAACTGCTCTGGTCGGTTCCTGTCCCATGCACAACAACAAAGCCTAACGTGGAGAGCATAGCTGGATTACTTGTGGATGTGTTCTCATTGATTAGTTCCAGACCTAAAGCTCAGATTTAAGGTAGTGCAAATATACTTGCTCTGGCTATTTCCTGAATTAGAAACATTAACTTTTTTTTTTAATCACCTGGGTTGGGAAGCCTGAGTTTTGCTGAATTCAGCATCCTGAAAAGAAAACAGTATCATGTGGCTTTAATTCAGTACAAAGGTTCTTCTGGTCTTGGAATCATTTATAGTGATATTGGGTAGAGGCAGCTCTTTGAGCCATTTCCCATGTGTTTGAGAGTAAATTTATTATCCACTCGCTCCTACCTGGCAGATGGCACCTTTTCCTTCCTGAGTTTTGTATGAGTGATTGCTCTGAATGAAGATAAGCGTCATGGTAGGTTTAGGAAGGCTATTTTAATAAAATCAACCACAAGTTAAATAATACGAAGAGTACGTGAGAGGCCACATAACAAAACATACAACTTGATAAATTAAACAAGAACTCCAGAATGTTTTAGATGGATGATATTTTTCACAGTATTGGGAGAAAATGACTGGAGCACTTTAAAACATTAGAAATGACCCAGTCAGTTGTCCCTAAAAGCATATTGCTGCTGCACAATGAACTCTATTCCATGCTCTTGAACAGACCTAATCTTACGAGATTCAGTTTAGGATCAGAAATGTCTACCTAATGGTTCGCTTTTCTAATTGCAATCATTTTCCAGAGGATAAATTCACTGCAGCAGATTACATTAACTGGACAAGCTCAGACCAGAACTTCAGCACGAAGAGGTCGTGTAACTGCCAGCACAACAAAATCCACGTGGTGATTTAAAGTTGGTTATTAACCCACATATAGTAAACCAGAAATAGCTTCATTTATATTGATAGGGAATCCTATTTTGCTTGAATTACTGTAGAGGAATAATGAATAGATAGAAGAGATGGTATTCGAATGCTGTAGAAATGCCAGTGATAAGAACAGCTTCGGTAAAGTGACACTGGCTCTGCTATAAAAGACAAATGTTAAGGAACACTTGCTACGTCTTTGTGGCTTGCTTTGTCCTACTCCAAAAACAGATGTTGCAGCAGTTGACACGGGGCTTTCTACAAGTCATTTGCTCGTCCTTCAGCTGTTTCACCAACAGTACGGTGATACCCCCCTCTCAATATCCACTTTACAAGTTCTTTCCAGTTATAATTCTGAAGTACATGTAATTCCAGTCAATATTCAGTATATTTTAACTGTGATCACAATTAAGGGTGCCCTGAATTCTCTTAAATAAGGTAGATTTTTCTTAAAATGGCAAGAAAACCTCTGAACCACGTGCATGTTTAAATCTTCATGCCACTACACGCTGTCTAGATAGCTCATCAGTATCTGGCGTGCAAAAGATTTATTCCTGTGGTGCTCAGCATGCAGTGTAACAGCGCGGTAGTATTGTAAAATCATTTCAGAAGCGTGAGGGGAAGCCACTGAATTAAGAGGAGCAAGTCTCTACAAAAAGCATCATGTGCAGGAGAAAGTAGTAAGTAATGAATTGACGTTATTCATAAGCTCAGGGATTTATGTTATTGTAATGGGGAATTACATGGAGAAGGAACGGTTGAGAAGATCATGAAAGGAATATTAATTCTGTATTTTAAAGATGGGCACAAACATCTGTAGATCTGGTTAAAACTTGCCAGTTCTAAAAATTTCAACTGCAAAGAAACAAGACTCAAAGAGGAGGTCTTTAAAAGAGCCGAGACCTGGGTTGTAACATTTTTAAGTGAACAGGACACGACAAAATTTGTTAAGTGGCCACGGTGAAGACTGCAGGCCGTGACTGTTTTAAGGCAGAGGAAAATCAAGCTCTAGACTGGCAGTAGGGTGGCTTTGGCTGAAGTCCCGCTGCGGGGAACAGGGAGATGGGAGGCTGATGAAACAAGTTGCCTCTTGTGACGCTCTTGCTCTGACTTTTGCACTGGAACTGTTTTGTCATGCAGTTACCTTATGAGGAAGATAGGTGTGATAAACATACGTTTGAGTCTTACAGGTAACATAGTGTATAAATAGTCTGGAAAACAGGTAAACATCTTGTAAATAGCGATTCCTCAGAAACAAAATGGTAGGGCTCTGTGTTCTGCTCATTAGGACTGCGCAGTGAAAACACAATATACACAGCATGCATCCCTTCGAGCACCTGTCGCTTGGAGGTAAAATTCTGGTGACTTTGGTTTAGTATAATTGCTCCTGAATTTTTAAGCTAGTGTAAATTGGGTTTTTATGAGAAATATTGTGTATATGTATGCCCACGCGTGCAGTCAAAAGGCAGGAGAAATTCGCAAGAGAAATAGAAAGTCAGTAAAATAATCTTCATAAAGTATAGCAGGGTAGGATTTCTGATCTACGTGTATTGGGAAAGGAGAGTCTCCAAGAATTCAGCATATCCAATACCTGATGCGTAAGATCGTGTTTTTAAAGGCTGCATATCATATGTAGAGATGGAAGCAGTGACCTGTATGTACTGTTACTCAACCCTTTCCACAGTAAGATCCTGTTTTTACTTTACTCAAATTGCAGTAATTGAGGCAATTTTTCCATAAAACTGCAGTCAAGGAGGAGTCGTGATGTCAACACAGCGATAAAACCACACTAAACTCCTTGCAAAATCAGCCCCTGAAAACATGGAGACTTTTGCCTGTCTTCATTTCTCCGTGCGCCAGTTTTCCCTCGGAGGGATGGTATTTGCTACTTGATGTTATTAAGTTAAATCCATGCATGTCTGTGTAGTGTTGTGCTCTTATGCCAATTAGTGGTATGATAAGGCCATGAGGAAATAAAAAACTTTGCATTTGGTGTGTAGTTCGGGTAGCGGTTGAAACGAAGCCTTGCGAAGGCTGGAATCGAAAGCATCACGGAGCAGTGGCGTCAACCTTCCTACGTGCCGAGTGAGGCGAGCCTGAGCTGTGCCCCTGTAGCGCTGCTGCAAGTCGTCGGACGCTCTCAAAGCAAGTCCCGGCGCTACCCAAGAGTCATCGCTTTTGCATGCATTTAAGAATATCCTCCTCATTCTTCTTCTCTCTTTGTTTTTTCATAGTGAGCGTTGAAAAAGTAGAGTTAAAGGGACTGGCACACAAGAAGAATGAAAGAAATGTTGAATATTCCTTTGAGGTAAGTTTTTGTGATTGTTTTTTTTACTATGAAAGAAGGGAGGGTAGTACTTAAGGAGGAGTTAAATTTTCAGACCTTATTTTTAGATCCCAGAAACTGGTCTGGTGGAGCTCCTTGGGGATAGATGCTAGTCATATTTTATAATCAATGATTTGGAAGTAGTCATAAGTTGCAGTTGATGAACATTTGTGGATGATGCAGAGTGGGACACAGGCAAAATAAAAGTATTCACTCTAATGCAGCAGGTGGTGGCAGAGTATATATTTAGGGGAAAAATATCACGCCATGCTTACAGAATGGGTATCTATGTGCTGGAATGCAGAAGCTAGAAAGAATTTAAGTCTCGGTCTAGACAAAGAGAATTTAGACTCCTAGATCAGTGCTGCACATATGGGAAAAGAGGTAGGATGGTCATTTATCTTTGCATTCAGCCTGGAGGGGAGTGCGAGACTGTGGCATATGGCTCAGGTGTTACCGGTTTTAAAAGGGGTGTTGAAGAATACAGAAAATAGCCATGGAAATGATTCAAGGCTTGAGGAAAATGCCGTGTAGCGAGAGAGTTAAAGAACTTGACTGAAGGATGGCTTTAAGCATCACATAAATGTGTTTTTAAAGAGAAGAAAATATTTGATGGTAAAGGGGGCGTTAACATAGCAGAAAAAGGCATAACAGGAACCGTCGTCTGAAAATTGAAGCCAGGCTAATTCAAACTGGAAGTGAGAATAGTTTCTTTGGAATGAGAGTGGTTAGCCACAAGCTGCTAGGAGAAGCGGCTCCCCCCTCCTCTTTTTTACACAGCTTTTGGATGTTCGGTCGTGGCTGACAGTTTCTGCGGAGGGATGACTTCATTCTGTGAAACCTTGTTTTTAGTAGCAGAGACTGGATTCTGGGTGCTGGCGAGAAAGAATGACAAACTGCTTTTCTCCCATCTAGTTGGAACGACGTATTCCAAAATTCAGAATGCAAAGCCCAGAAAATGTCTTTGGTTTGCTTAATGAGGCAACAGAGCCAAACGCTTGGTGAGAAAAGGAGAACCCGAAAGAAAACGGACAGTAGAATTTCAATTATCTACAACTTTTTTTTTTTTTAAAAAAAGGTTTCCTTTAAAACTACCACCCACCCAAGACAGAACGTCAGTTCAGCATCTTCTTGTGATGTTGACAGCGTTAACCTCTGCATGACTCGATTCGTGGATAATGTTCTGAATTTTCTGAATCCCATGATTGTTCCAAATGTCATCAATATTAGAAAGGATTTTTTCAAGGGCTTTTAAAAGTCTTTATGAAATACGCAGTTGTCTAGACTCCAGTTACGTATTCGTATCTTGTGAAACATCTTTTCCTATTATAAATTTTTCTATAAATACCAGAAGTTACTTTTACCAGTATTTCACTTAACAGCTTGTAACTGAAAGAACAGCATATAGTTTAGCTGAGCTAAGAAATTGCTGTTTGCTGGGTTAGAAACCCAACTATTAAATGTTTTGTTTAGTAGCTTGGGAATAGAAGGTGAATAGATGGAGGAGTTCAGTGCGCTCGGCATCGCTTGGCAATGCTGCTGTTCCCTGCATTTACAGTTCACGTTATTGTTTTATAAGTATTGAAAATTATAACAAGTTAGCAAAACGTAAGTCGTAATAAATGTCGGGTTATTACAAAACTAGAAAGAAAGAGACATTTCTCCTATATTTTCTGGAGTTTCTCATGAATTTAAAGACGTATTCATTTATCACTAACTTTAAAAAACAAACAAAAAAACCCCACAGGCTTTGTAAAACCAGAAACTGCTTAAGTTTTCTTTCTTCTTTTCTCCCCCCCC